AAAAATAAAAAAGTTATAATTTTTGAAAATTTTCAAAAATAAAAAACTATGCGATTTTTTTACTCAGAAGGAAATGACTTTGGAAAAAAAATTTAAGGAACAAAATTGCTTGAAATTCATCAAAACACAAGTGTAAATTTTTTCGAATTCCTTTGAGCGATTTTTTACTTTTTGGATTTATAGGATTGTTTGAAAAATTAAAAAACTTCCCAAGATCTTTTACAAAAATTCAAAAAAATAATTATAACTTTTTTATTTTTCATTTTAGCGAAAATGGTCTCTGTTGAGCCAGATTTTCATAAAAAAATATGAAATATTAATTTTTTTAACATTTATTACTAAAAATTTGAAAAATAAAATTTTTTGTTTACGAGTTTGTTTCTTGTAGCCGCCATATTGGAGCCGCCATGTTGGATTTTGCAAAGGCGCACACAGGATCAGAAAGTAGATATCCTAAGCTTTAAAATGAGTCGTTGCACGATTTTTTTGGTCACATCAAATTTTGGACACAGCAGTGATCCGGTTGACATGGATCGTCCCATATACAGGGTGAGTCATTTTAATTTCCCCAGTCTAATAACTTTTGAAACAAGCAAATTACGCAAAAATGTTTCAGACCAAAGTTGTAGGGGTTCAAGGGGGACATCTAGGGGTGACTTTGAAATTGACCTTGAGCTTGACCTTGACGGTTTTCTCAAGGTCATTTCTATTTTTTTAATGGAAACCCCTATTTCTGATCTCAGGATCAGAACGAGCGGGAAATTTTACGTTCAAGTATCTATTTAGTTTTTTTTCATAAGAACATAAACAATATTTCAGTTTTTACTTAAGAAATTGAAGCCGCTTTCAAACATCAAAAGGTTTAACGAGCATCGAAGACCTTTGTCGTACTTCTATTCTCAATATGAAGCAAAGGTCAAATTCTTGAAAATTCTTTTATTTTTGTTACATTTCGAGGCGAAGCTTTTATCGCATATGACCGTTGTTAAATAAACTTCCAAAGAATAAGGGACTGGCCATGTACTAACGATGCTGATGTTTAAGATCATAAACTTCCTATCTTTAGCACTACCCAGGAACAACGACGTGGACGTAATAGGATTATGTTCCCTCTGGGGTGCTTTATTAACGTGAGTCCACTTGCCTCTCACGATTCGGGGTGCTTTATTAACGTGAATCCCCTTGCCTCTCACGATTTGGGGTGCTTTATTAATGTGAGTCCCCTTGCCTCTCACAATTCGTGATGAAACTAGAATAAACTTATTTCCTATCGGTTTTGCTCGAAATTATTACCATTTACGTCGATGCATTGCCTGAGCCTCTGTTCGAAGCTTTCAATAGTGCGCAGTAAGATATCTCTAGAGATTTGTCTACATGCAACTCTAATTCTTTCTATCATATTCTCCCTTGTTGTGGGCGCTTCGGCGAACACAGTATTTTTTAAGTATCCCCAAAGGAAGAAATCTGGGGAAGTTAAGTCCGGTGATCGTGCAGGCCAAGCAACTGGACCACCTCTTCCAATCCACCTTTGTTGGAAATTTCTATTTAAAAACTCTCGTACAATTAAAGCGAAATGCGGTCCTGCACCATCCAGTTGTATCCACATTCGACGTCTAGTCTCAAGATCTACGTCTTCAAGTAAAAGTGGGAGATGATCCCTTAAAAGTTCTAAAATAGCATTGCCGTTGACGTTTTCTTCAAAAAAGAATGGCCCGATGAGATGACCATTAACTATTCCACACCATACATTTACACTCCAACGATGTTGATTATCGACTGGTCTGTACCAGTGAGGATTCTGATCAGACCAATAATGACTGTTGTAACGATTCAATTGGCCAGTATTATGAAACGTAGCTTCATCACAAAAAAGGACATAATTAAAAAAATTCGGATCCTGCAAAATCATCTGTAGAGCCCACCGACAGAAATTTACTCTGTTTCTCATATCATTAGCGTTTAATGCTTGCGTTAAGGTAATATGATACGGATGATATCTATTACTTCTTAAAATTCTAATAACGGTTCTCTGAGGTATTCCTGTTTCTCTCTCTATTTGTCGACTGCTGATATGAGGATTTAGGTGAACCAATCCTAAGACAACCAAAACCCTAGCATCTCTATCATCATACTCATGTCTTGGTCGACTTCTTCGTAGATGCCCTTGTCGAGCTCTTTCTTCAAGACGATGAATAGTACGGTGATCAGGATGGCGCCTTTGTGGGTATCGAATTCGATACAACCTTGACGCTTCACGGTAATTACCTCTACATTCTCCTAAAATCCAAATCATATCAACTATCTCTGTTGGGGTAAAATCAGCCATATTTAAAAGATTTTTTCAAAAAACCTCAATACAAATCAACAAAGGCAAAGATCATAGAAAGATGATACAAATTAAATATTACTGAAAACAGAGGCAATATTGTCCAAATTAGATTTCATATGATCGATGGCAATAAGAAAGGTCTCTTATTCAAATATGAAGAAATAATGATAGTGATACAATGAACACAAGCATGGTTAAAACAAAAGTAATATTTAAAGCTTTTTCAAAATTGAAATCACGACTGAACGTATTGCGATTACTTTCTAAACGACTTCCAAATGTAATAGATTCTTCATTGAACATGAAATTTATCCTTATGTATTTAACTTTTACTCTTATTTCTTTGCAGAACATCAGATTGATACTGAAATAGTTTCATTAATTTAATAGACTTGTAATAGCAAATTATTAGCAACAACTTCCAATATTTGAAATTTATTAATAATAATCATACAGTCCGGTGAAAAATAAAAAAGGATAGGGAACGGAAACAAGAATAGTCCCGTAAAATTTAAAAAAATTAAATTTAAAAAATTTTTAAATTTAAAAAATTTAAATCCTGTAAAATTTCCTGCTCTTTCCGATTCCGAGGTCAGAAATAAGGGTTCCCAATAAAAAAATAGACTTGACCTTGAGAAAGCCGTCAAGGTCAAGCTCAAGGTCAATTTCAAAGTCACCCCTAGACGTCCCCCTTGAACTCCTACAACTTTTTTCATAGTCATTTTTTCTTATTTTGCTTACATTGTTCGATTCTTGTTCCAGGATTGTTTTGACCTTAGCATGACCTTAAGGGTTTATTTTGACCCATGTTAAAAGATGTTATCTGGATGTAAAATTTCCCGCTCTTTCCGATTCCGAGGTCAGAAATAGGGGTTCCCAATAAAAAAATAGACTTGACCTTGAGAAAGCCGTCAAGGTCAAGCTCAAGGTCAATTTCAAAGTCACCCCTAGATGTCCCCCTTGAACCCCTACAACTTTGGTCTGAAACATTTTTGCATAATTTGCTTGTTTCAAAAGTTATTAGACTGGGGAAATTAAAATGACTCACCCTGTATATATAATATATAAAATTTATACAACATTTTTAGGGTTTGGTCCAAAGAAATAATCGATGACGTTAACTTTGACCCTAAGATCATTTTTGTAGGTCATTTAAATTTCAACATTTTTTTTAAATGGAAACCTCTATTTTTAATTTCGGAAATAAAAAGAGTGAGATATAACCTTCAAATGACTCTCAAAGTCTCTAATTCAAGTACATATGTGAAAGTAACATTTCCCGCTCTTTTCATTTCCGAAATAAAAAATACGGGTTTCCATTTAAAAAGAAAGTTGACATTGAAATGATATCTAAAAATTGCCTTGACGTCAAAAAGTTTAAATTCTATCGTAACTTATTGTAGCGTAAACGGACATTTTTTTACTCTTTTTTCAAAGATGAAAATTATAATGAAGACGTTTTTAGAAAAAATTGAGCTACAGTTTTTTTATGTAAAATCAAGTCGACTTGTCCTTTATATAAGACTTATTCCTCCAACGCGTGACATAAAACCTTAATGAATCGCTCATAATTAGAGAATTGAGTATATATTTTGTCAAATGATAGAACTCAAATAATGATAAAATAAATACCATTTTTTATCCTGGACGATTTTTTTGGTGCAGACCCTATGGAATGAATTTATGCCTTTTGGCTGATAAACCAAGCCAGTCTTAATGTCATAATTGATGTCCTAATGATATTAGGACAAACGCGAAGATTGGTTTAGTTGTAGAATCAGAATCTGAACCCTTAAAATATGATGTTGAAGAAGTGACGATGGTTCTTGTGATATTACGACGTTTAGAGGTTGGTCACGGAGAAAATTCATCCAAAAACAGTCACTGCGAATCTTATTCTCCTTGGTGATCTTGATGCCCAGTGCTATCGAGTTTAAAAAACTCAATACATTTGAATATTGCTTGATTCTTTTTACCCTTAAGACAGCTGAGGTGACGATGAAGTCGACTTGAGGATGGCTCCAGAGAAAATGTTTGAACATTCGAGTGTTTGATTTAGCGTTCGTGTTAGAAGACTGAGGTACAGGATCTCCAACCTGCTTCTTCTTATTATGGTTTAGAATAAAAAGTCATCAAAAACTTGCAGTTTGAATATCGTTTTATGAATTAATTTGAAGAAATCATCCAACCTTGAAAATTAATTATTGTCTAACTATGGCGTGCCTTATTTATCAGTAAAAGAAGATCTTCAGTGTTTGCGTTTGCCAGCTTTGGAAAGTCAAAGATTATGTTGAAATGCTGAACGGTAACGATGTGCCTTTGATCATTAAAATCATTTAATAAAAGATTGTTCATAAATATTAATTCATAAATCATGATGGTACTCTAGATTTTTTTATGTCATTAATAAACCATCAATATATATCACTTATAAATTAAGAAATACATATTTTACTTTTCAATAGGCCGAAAAGCGGCATCTTAGTATATAAATATTGTGAGCAGATTAAGTTTGCTGTCATTTTGTGCGTCCTCGCCTGTAGCTTGCTACTGTAATTCTTGATTTATAGCATTCAGATATGACAACTTGATATTGTAATTTTTTGAAAGAAATAAATAATATATAATAACACATTATGAAAGAAAATTCTTTAATAATGCATAACTGTCACAACAATTTTATTTTAAATTTGTAACAACTATCTAGATAATAATTTGATTGATTTGGAGTTTATACAATATTTACAGTTATATTTTACAACCGATTTTGTTAAACTTGCATCATCATTATTTAATTAGATTTATAATTTGTAATAAATCAAACTGGACAAACCAGAACTTCGTATTCGAACATTAAAGATACCGTCACAAAAACGAAATAAAGTAAAAACATTGTAAATCCTAATCCTTTATTCATTCGCCACTTGAAGAATGCTATACTGAGAATAACAAAAAGGAGCATACAAAATAAAATAGCAATGCTGCAGACCATTCCTACGGAATTCACTTCAACGGGTGTTCCATAAATAAGTCCATATAGTAGCCAGGGCACAGGAAGTCTGAAAAAGGATATAATCTTTATTGATGTATTTATGTATTTGTATTTATTAAAAGTGTCTATAAGATATACAAGCAATTAAAATAATTTTTCAGATGGTATAATTAAGTTATTAAATTATTATTTTTCTGATAAATTCGTTCTTAAAAATAATATCAAATTCAAAATTTATATTTTATAAAATATTGTGTCAGATTCGTTCAACCCTTAAGAGTAAACAAAAGTTAATTTTTCTATTATACAAACATAAAATATAACTTTAACTTTTTCAACAAAATACTAGCTAATTTCTTAAATTAAAATTTTTAAAGCGGAGATATCGTTCTTTGAAATAGAAAAAAAGCGTAGGGTTCTTGGAGTTTGACTTTAGCGTTAGCCCGTCGTGGATGTAAGAAAACTAGGGCCAATTCCATCTCAAATCATACGGAGCTCCATGGGCACCCATGAGCAAACCACACCAAACTATTTTTTTGAGATTCTATGATGAAAATAAAGCGAAACGTATTTTTTTTGCCTTAGACGCATATTTGATTTAATATTGAATTTTGAAAATTCACTTCTAAAATTCAAAGTTAAAAAAAAATTTTGAGAGTTGGATTTCGACTTTCTACTGCTCGGTCATTATTAGTCCAAATCGGATGAAACTTTTTTCATATTGTAGCAAAATTGAAGACCTTCAAATGTACGTGATCAAAAATGTGCATAAATGCATTTTTCAGAAGATTATGCACTTTTGCATAAAAATTGCATCCTGTAAAAATACCGATTTATCTCAAAAAGGCCATCTTTTTTTTGGCCGATTTTTTTTTGTAGATTCGTTGTACCATCGTGTTCATACGTATACCAGTCCGGTTTCCGGTTTTTGCTTTTTTATGGAGAAAAAAAATAAAAAAAAAAATTTTTTCTTCCGTGTCGAAAATTTGAATAATCTATGTAAATGTATATTACTTTTATAAAAAAAAGGTTCAAAAGTAAATAAAATAATGTTTCACATTTATTTTTTGATATATCTTGAATCTATTCTTTATTTATTTTTCTTTTTTTTGTTTATTCGCCTGTTATTCACTTTCTTAACTTTTCCTGATAAAACTTTATTTTTCTTTTGACGTACTTGACCATATTTTCCTCTTTTAGCCGAAGTTTTCTTCACCTTGACTTTCCTTTTAGTCATTTTTACTTTTTGCTCCATCTCAATCCATTCATGTACTGCAGTTCTAGCGATAAAACACTTGCTCTTCCCATTGGATGGTTCAGACTTCCACATGTGGCATCTTTGGATACCATCGAATTTCATGGAACTATTCCTATCTTCAATTTTCTGCAGTAAAAATTGAAATCTGTTTGTTTACCCAGTGGTTTCCTTGAAGGGGATTTTTCAAAATTACTGTCCAATTCTCAGCAAAATCAATATGCATCAATAACCATCGACAGTTTTTTGATACTGCTTCTTTTTCAGATTTTATTTCTAACCTTTGTATTTCCTTAATCCTTAAGTGAGAAATAATTTTGATGGTATGCTCTGCAATCTCTTCCTTGAACGTAGCAATAGATACCGTTCTCATTTCTAGAGTACCTTTACTCCAAAATGCAAATGATATTTCACTATCTACCTCAGATTCGTCAATTTTTAATTTGTCGAATGTGATGCCATTAGCGCCAGGGCATGAAGTGCATTCTTGAAAATTACAAGACTCTGTAGGGGCTGAACAAACAACATTTGATAACATTTCAGAGCGCATACTCGAAAGACTAGTACTTGTTTGCCCAATAAAATTTTTCAAAGCAATGAGAAGTAGATCAAAATTTGCACAATAAATACATAAGCATACATCGTTCACTGGATCTATTAGTACATATTTTGGGCGCATTGAGTAGAATTTTGATTTGCTAATTTTTATACTAGGATTGTCTTCTTTGAAAACTTTGTATACTTCCTTCATACTCCTCGTTAAAAAACGTTTAACTTTTTTCACCCTTTGCCCATGTTCAATCACAGTAATAACGTCACATTTGTTAGGACTTTGTCTTGAGCAGTTAAAATCATCGTTCAAAAAATATTGCATGACTATTTCACTTGTTTCTTTTTCTAATGGATGTCCATTATAGCGATCTGGTTCACTGTAAATTCCTATAATCGAAAATTACACAATAAAACTTCTGCTTTTAGAATAAACTATCAACAAATATATCTAATTTTGAATATTTTAAAAATAAAGTTACCTTCATTTGAAGAAATTTTTCTTGATTTATCAACCATGTAAGCCGTAACTTGTGGAAACAAAGATAAGATTTGGCATTTAGATAATATAGGAGCTATAATGGTCAAGAGCTTGATCTTGTCTGAAATATTCCGACAACTATCAAAGGCTTTAGCTACGTCATCCTTTAATTCTTTGGACATATGACCCAAATAGCTTTGCTCTTCCTCAAGTGGTGTATCATATATTTTTCTTAACTTCCGGCTCGTAGCTTTAGTAAACGATGACACGAGTTGTCTTTTTTTTTTAAGAACATATGTTTCGATGTTCATGTGGGAAAGATTTCCTTTTTTTCGCAAAGGCGATACTGGATTTTCCAATTTTGAAATAACTGCATTATTGAATTCATCAACATGTACAGAAGAATCCAGTTCAAACTCACTATCACCACCAACGTTAATCACATTCACTTCCACCGAATCGGGGATCTCAACCGTATCATTATGATCTACACTATCATTATGAGCTCTGTAAATACGCTTGTAGCAATTACTACATACACTACTGTTAGCAGTTATACTTTCATCTGCAAACTTTGTTTGCAAAAATCCTGCGTAATCACCCACAACTTGAAAGTTCAATGTTCTACTTTGATACACGCACTTTTTGTGAACTTGAAAATAATCGGGGCATTTCAGTCTCTTTGCAGAATAATTTTCGAGAGTAGACATGATAACTACAAGAAAGCCAAGCTTCTACTGTCGTCAAATTCCAGATATGCGTATGTGGATAGTACTCGCGTACTCAAAGAATGCGGCAGTGTTTGTAAACATGAGCGTTCAATGATTTACAGTTTTTTTTTATAGAAGTAACATACATTTACGTAGATTATTCAAATTTTCGACACGGAAGAAAAAATTTTTTTTTTATTTTTTTTCTCCATAAAAAAGCAAAAACCGGAAACCGGACTGGTATATGTTTGAACACGATGGTACAACGAATCTACAAAAAAAAAATGGGCTAAAAAAAAGATGGCCTTTTTGAGATAAATCGGTATTTTTACAGGATGCAATTTTTATGCAAAAGTGCATAATCTTCTGAAAAATGCATTTATGCACATTTTTGATCACGTACATTTGAAGGTCTTCAATTTTGCTACAATATGAAAAAAGTTTCATCCGATTTGGACTAATAATGACCGAGCAGTAGAAAGTCGAAATCCAACTCTTAAAATTTTTTTTTAACTTTGAATTTTAGAAGTGAATTTTCAAAATTCAATATTAAATCAAATATGCGTCTAAGGCAAAAAAAATACGTGTCGCTTTATTTTCATAATAGAATCTCAAAAAAATAGTTTGGTGTGGTTTGCTCATGGGTGCCCATGGAGCTCCGTATGATTTGAGATAGAATCGGCCTTATACGATAACTTTGCAATTTGACTATTTACTGATAACATTAAAATTTTGTGCTGGGTATAAATAACTATATTCAATTTTTTTGCCCATCTATTCCAATAATACAAGATTTTATTAACTTCTTAACAACAATATATATTAAATTCATACTTATATTGCCTATCCACGTAAATAATTTTTCTGACATAGCTGTTACTTCGCTACCTGTATTTATTAGAGCATCGACATTTGTATTGCTGATCTCCGGACACTGTATTTATTGACAAATTTCATAATTCGGCTCAATGTTCTGAACTACTCGTAAATCTGCGCGTTTATCTAATATTACGGCAAACAATAACTCAATCTTATTTGGAAATATACACCTAATTGTATCTGGAATACGTTTGTTTTGCGTATTCTTCGAGTCTATAGATACAACTACCTTTAGTTTTCTATCTCCGATTCCATTAAATTTGATGATTGTCCGAAAAAACTTTTGACAATGTAAAAAGTTTCATGAAAGTTTTTGTACTATAACAAAAATTATAATTGTATTATATTTTTTATTTTTTTCTATTATTCCTACTCTATCAAATACATTATTTTTGTATCAATCGTATTAAAATACCACTATAAAAAATCTTACAAACCCAAATGTTGCGCAAATAGTTACTTTATTATTTACTGTACTACTCTTTTCAAATCTCTATTAGAATCATGGCTAATTCTTACTTATCTCACTACGTATCTTTTGTTTTTCTGTTTAACGTTGCTCTATTTATGCTACATCAGTGCTAATTAGCGACGAAGGCTTGCAATGTGTTTGAGAACAAAGCACATGAAACTTTTTTCAGTGGTACTTGTATCAATCAGCAGGGACTGGGAATCGAACCCGGGCCTACCGGATGCGAGTCTGTTGCCCTACCTAATGAGCCATTGTAGGCCACCATGTGTCTCGATTGCGTTTTATTTATTTGTTTCAAATTGTAAATCTAAACTTTTGAAAGTAGTAAAATCAATCTTATAATGCGATTCTGAACGACGCGTAGCTTATAGTTGATTGTTGTTGGATGAAATTGAAACCGATGAGGGTATCTTGAACCAAATTTTATGGACGGATGAGTCGACTTATGAGAGACTGGGAATATTCAACCAGCATAATGAACACTCGTGGAATTACGAAAATTTCAATTTGATTCGACAAGGTAAAGTCTCCTTAGCCGTTATCTTTTTATTTTTGAAGAATGTTAGGGCTAAACAAGCTTTTGGGTATTCGAATGAATGCAAATGATTTTCTAAAAGATATAATTTTCTTTGTAAATATCTTTACTCCAATTTGAAAAAAATGATTTTATCAATGGAATCTTTTAGCTGGTTTTCAAAACATCACTTTACTGTAAGTATTT